TGGATCGCCACTCGCCCCCATTTTACAGGTGGAACCGCGAGCTTCAAGAGGCTGGGGGACCCCGAACCAGCGTCACGCCCAAGCAGGGCCTGTGACGCACCCCTTACAGACACTCGCAGGGAGTGGGGTGTGGCAAACTGACTTCAAACACAGGGCTGCGTCCCTAAGGTATGGGGAGGGGGAGATACTTAATGTTATTTCCCCCCCCCCCCGTTGGTGGGGGGTCGGGGGAGACGGGTCACGACCCCACTAGTCTCTGCTGGAAGCTGTGGGCGATTTCCTGGTAAATGCACGCATGCACATAGTGGTCTGCATACAATTGGAGGCACAGAGGTAGCCTGACATGGCTTGGGAGGAAAGGTTCCGAAAAGGGTGGAGGAGAAACATATTCTGGGGACAGCCCCCACCCACCGCTTTTTAAATGAGAAGTTGCAAACATTCACAAAGTAGCATTGCAAATAGATTCCTACAGACCCATCAGCCAGCTCCAACAATGATCCGGGTTTTGTCCTCCTCCCTCTTCTTGCTGGAGTGTTTTAAAACAACTTCAGCCGTCATGTGTCCCCCTACATGCCGCAGCTAAAACGTTCTTACAATACGCCATGATCACATCTCACAAAAGTAACACAGATTCATTGGTATTCTTTAACAGCCGTTTCCTCCAAAACAAAAAAAGGGTTTATATTGTTAAATAGTTGGTTTGGATCAGAATCCTCCCATAAACCTTGGCCCATTTATTGTAGCTGAGGCCCCCTGATAGCTTAAATACACTGTTATTAAATACACACACACACACCCATTAAAGACTGGCAAAAATTTCTACAGCTGCCCCAGTTGGGGCGAACTAATTGGGAGGGAAATCGGTCCATTGTGAAGGGGAAGTCAGCTTGAGGACTTTGGAGCCCCTCGTCCCTTGCTCAAGGGAACACTGTCCTGTTGGAAGCTCCAAGGGCCAGAAAGGGAAAGAGGTGTGCCCAAGTTTACACAGCAAAATGGGGGCCCTCCCTTGTGAGAGAGCAGAAAGGGACTTGGCTGGGTCATTACTGAGCAGATGAGCAAGAGGCCACCTCAGCAGACAGGGCTCTGTCTCCCAGGTCAGGAAGTGGATGAGGTGGTGGAATTTGGCTGGAAGTCATTTGGAGCTCTAGGCTGCAGTCTGGACCCACGTTTCAAGGGTCAATGAGAAACTGGAAGTGGCTCCTGAGGACTGGACTCACTTTCTGAGCTGAAGCAGCTGGGGCTCTTTAGGGAGAGTAGGCCTGGGGTAGGATTTGAAGGTCTGAGTTTGGGAAGTAGGAACAGGACTGGGGAGCTGAGGGAGGACGCTACCGGTACAGACAGATTTCAACTCAACCTATATTCAAGGGCGGGATCCCTGGTGGCGTTGTGGCTACTATTTGGATTGCTAACTAAAAAGTAGGCAGTTCAAAACTACCAACCAGCTCCGAGGAAGAAAGATGAAGCTGTACTCCCATAGAGTTAGAATCTGGGAAACACCAAGGGGCAGTTCTCGTCTGCCCTGTAGAGTTACTCTGAATCAAAATTGACTCCAAGGGAATGAGGTTTTTAAGCCTTATTTATAATCCATGTATATTAAAGTGGTCCCGTCCACCACAAAATGGACTCTTGTGAGACAGTGAGCTCCCGTCGCAGGAGGTGTGCATGTGACTGCTGAAGGCCCTGCCCAGAGGACCCTAGGCCTGTCTGGAGGTGGAAAGGTTGGTGCCTTCTCTGTTCTTGAATCAGACCTAAGTGGGAGGTAGGTGTAAAGGCTGGCAGTTGGGAGAGGAACCCAATCATTCACTTGTGTATTGGACACATGTGTATTAGCTCACTCTTCTGTGCTGAGATTGACTGTGTTGGGTGCTGGGTGAAGCCCTGCCCTCAGGGTGCTTTCAGCCTGGTTGGGGCGGGGAAAGCAGATATGAATCAAATATTCACACAAATAAAGGTAAGATGTTATCTTATGAGGACCAGGAATAAACCAGAGGGAGGAGCCAGGGAAGGCTTGTCCGAAGACCAGAGTCAAAGCCCTGCAGGAGAAGAGAAGGGCATTCTGGGCAGTCTGGCACAGTGTGAACAGAGCTTGGGGAGCCAAGGTGCTCCTGGGTCCGGAAGACCAGCTGGGGGCGGGAGCTGGGGGACAGGACTCAGTCATGGGGGTCAGTGAAGGAGGTTGAGAGCAAGGTCCCCTGGATCTGTGGGGCACGGGGCCTGACAAGGGCTGCGGGAAGTCAGCAAGGGTTTAGGGCGATAACCAGCCCACTGCCACAAAGTCCATTCCAATCCACAGTGACCCTATCTACCTAGGGTTTCTGAGATTACAAATCTTAATGACAGCAGACAACTCCATAGCTTGCCCTCAGAGCAGGTGGTGGGTTTGAACCATCGACCTTGGCCAACGCCTAGCCCACAGCGCCAACAATGTGGATGGATGGGGAGGTGGAAAGACGACAGTGGCTGGTAGGTGGAGCATGGCGCAGGGAAGCCGCGTGGAGCCAGGAAGCTGGCCAGGGGTCCAAGTGACAGGAGGCTTTCTGAGCAAAGCAGGGACCAGACTGCTTCTTTGATCTGAGGATGGGTAAAGCCAGGGAACCCTGTGGCCTGGGGAGAACCACCCAGCTGCTCTGAGCACCCAAGACTCTATCCCTCAGCACTGTGCACACCAGGGTGGAGGCTAGATGTGGCCACAAGACATCCTAGGGTGGCATTCCTATGGGAGCCCCCTTGGGGCTCTTTCTTCCCCGAGCCCTGGGAAGGTAAGGCAGGCTTGCTGGATGAGGACAGGCAGCACAGCCCAACCACGTTTTTGTGACCACTTTGTTGGACCGCTCATGTGCATTTTATAGCCCAGCAAACCTTGGGCACCATGATGACCTCGTGCTAAAGGTCTCTTCTCTCGCTCAACTGGATGTAATTATCTTGTGTTTGTCCTATTTGAGCCTTGGTAAATGCAGAAAGAAAGAAAGAAAAAAAAAGAGAGAGAGCAGGCAGGCAGGCAACACAGACAACACTGAGCCCAGAAGTTAGGTCTTTTGACTACATGGGTCGTGTTTGCTGCCCGTAAAGATTGCTCAGGAGAGCCTCGGCCCAACACTGCTGACTTTCCAGCTGGTGCCCTTTGGCCACCCAGAGTGGGATGGCAGGATCAACAGAGATTCCATAGCATCCTGATCATGAAAGACCCTTAGAAGAGCCAACCCACTCATTTCAGGGACAGGAAAACAGAGGCTCAGGGGCTCAAAGGAAGAAAGGTTCTTCCTAAGTTCCCACCATGTAAACATGGGAACTAGACCAAGGTTTACTGATTCCCTTCACTGCATCTCTCCCTACGAGTGCTGACCCTTCACTTCGTACCAGAGGAATAAGAACAAGAAAGGGTTTTAGTTTGGTTCATTGCGTTAAGTTGGCTCCAACCCCTAGAACTATCCCCTTGGCCCTATGCCAGCCTTCATGATGGTTGGTCTGCTCAGATCCACCATGGTGGCATTTTGAGCTTCTTCCTTACCCAGGGGTGGGGAGTGGGGGGCAGGGGCAAACTGTCCAGCACCTTATGAGGCAATGTTCTGCTGTGATCCATCGGGTTTTCATCAGCTCTTTCTCCAATAACTACATCCTTCTTCCTGCTCTGTCTCAGTCTGGAAGACCCACTGAAACCCGTCCACCGTGGGTGCCCCTGATGGTGTTTGAAGTACTGGTGGGAGCACTTCCAGCATCACAGCAGGTACAATAAACCGCCTGACACATGGTGGCACCATGCTAACGCCGGTCCTTGTTCCTCAGAGCCAGGCACACCGCATGCATTCAGAGTTCATCTTCTCGGAGCTCAGGGAGGCAGAAAGACAGGCACCAGACTCAGCGTCACCGAGCAATTCCCACTCCAAGGGATCCTGCAGGGCAGGGTCAGAACGACTGCTTCAGAGGGTTTCAAAGGGAGCAGGCAGCTGCATCTCACTCCCATAGATGGGGCTGGTGGGCTCCCACAGCTGAGCTTGCTCTCAGCACCCAACTGAAGGGTCGCACCCCTCCACAGCTGAGCCTCCCTGCTGGGAAAGTTAGCCTGTTCCCTGGAGTTTTGCTTAAGCAAATAATCAGTTCTTCCTCTTCCTCCTCGGACTTCTTCCTGCAAAAAGAGTCTCCACTCTTTTCAGCCCTCATTCTTGGTGGACTCCTAGTCAGAGTGCCCAGCCAGTCCTGATGTGCCATCCCCAGCAAGCCCCTCCCGAGGACACACACACACACACACACACACAGTTGCGGCATTGGTCGGCACTGGCTTGCGGCAATGGTGCACGTCAGAAGAGAACGTCTTCCATAAGGGTCCCCTCCACGAACCTTGTGGCAGTTTGCTTTTTTGTGAGTGTTTTTCTGTGTGTGCCAACCAGGGACACTGTAACCTCCTAAGAATCCTAGGCTGAAACTGTGAGTCACTCCCACCCTGGCCTCTGGCTCGCCTCCCCAGCCTCAATCCCTCCCCAGCAGCCCACGGGGATGGGGTCCAGCGTGGCGGGTGACCGG